TACATACACGTATCTGTAGAAAATACTTTGTGGTTGCCATTTTTAAAACATGAAAGGTATCACACTGTACATACTAATCTATGACCTAATTCTAAAATTTCAACTCTTAGAGATCTTCCCATGTTAGTGCATATACTTCAATCTCTGCCATGTGGTATTCCACAGTATGAATGAACATGTTACATGATTTCCACTTATTTGCTATTAAAAGCAATACTCCAACAAACACCTTAGTATATTCTTCTTCAGGTATATGGGTATTTATAGGACGGAGTTGTTAGGTCACGGTATATGATTTAAATTTTAAAAGATATTGACAAACTGTCATCCAAACGAGCTACAACAATTTACAAGCTCATCTATAGGAAATGCATCACTTTCCCAAACCTTGGACAACACTGTAAGTTTATTAATTTCTGTTCATCTGATAGAACAATGGTCTGTGTTGTAATTTGCAGTTCCTTGGATTATATTTAAACATTTTTTTTACATTTTTTTGGGGGGGCATAAATATTTCTACTTCTGTAATTTGTTCATAGATTTTTTTCTGTTATTCTACTGAACTGCCTTAATGATTAAAGAGTTTCTCATAATCTTTATACTGGTTCTGTGTCTCTTTGTCACCTGTCTTTTAATGTTGCCTACCATAGGGAAGTTTTAGATTTTGATACTGTTTGATACATTTTTACCTTTTTATATTCTATTTAAAGTTCCCTTACCTTATGATCACAAATTCTTACAGTTTTGTTAATATTTCGACAGCTTCGTGTTTAATGTTGTTTAAATTCCGGATGAATTAATTTTAGTGAATGATATAAGGTAGGGCTCTATTATTTTAAACTGGAAAGCAACTGTCCAGGCTCAGTTTATTGGCTAGCCTACCAGCTGGAAATACCACCTTTGTCATACTAAATTTCCGTATATACATGGGTCTGTTTCTGAACTCCAGTTCATCACTACCACCAGTACCACAGAGTTTTAACTGGTACCTTCACCAGACCTTCCATAAGGCCTCCAGTCCCATTTAACATACTTCCTCTCTGCAACTGTTCAACCTCACCTTATTTCTAGTCCTTACTCTCCAGACTGGGCATGACCCTCTCTAACTCTGAACACAGCTGGGGAGCAGGGGGATGTCAGTGGTGGAAAGACTGCATTTACATTTTGATAACCCTACACATATCCTTACTCTCCTTGCACCTCTACTCCCAAGAGCAAGCCAGCTGGACACCAGTAGCCAAAGTGCTATTTATTGAAAAGAGCAAAGACAGGATAAGTCCCCTAGGGACACGATGGAACAAAACAAGCAGTGTAACTCTGCCTCCAGCTCAGCATATTCTCTTGTTGCCCCACTTGGCCATCTTGTTGTTGATGGGCATCCTGAAGAAGCGGTCAGACTGCATGTATGCAGCTATTTTCTCCAAAGCCTGAAGGGAAAGCACACCAAACCTTATAAAGATCCAAACCCAGTCCAACAGAACCAGACCAAAACCACAACATTCACATTCTGCCTGCCTCCACTAACCCCCATTTCTGGTAGACAGAGCCTTTAGGGTGGAAGGAACCAGGCCTTTACCAAGACTTAAAGGCTTAGAGGTGACACACTCTTGGTCCCTTTAGGCAAAAGCTGTGTTGGGCAAGAATCTACCACTGTGGGGTTCCTCAGGGCCCAGGGGAGCCTGTGGGTTTTTTTGGTAAGAGAAAGGTGCAGGGAGCCTCACCTCAAAACGGCACATGAAAGCCTTCAGATTTGAGAACTCATCCAGGCACTTGGGCTCAAACATGCGGTTCTGATCTAAGACATCATAGGCGAGGAAGTCCACAAAGGTGAGCTAGAAGGACAATAAGATGATCAGATCTGGAGAGTTCATGAACACCTGCAGAGATAGACAGATATCCCCTCCTTTCCTTCTTCCTACCTTTTCCCCTGCAAACCAGGAGAATTTCCCCAGGAACAAGGAGAATTGTTTCAGTTTTCCAGGTAGCTGTTCTACGTACTGAGGCTTCAACTTTTCCTGAGAGAAAGTGAAGACAGAGTAGGAGAAGAACAGCTGTCATCTCTTCATAGCTGACCAGGGCAGGGTCCAGTGGTGGACAGTTAGCAGCCCCTTCTCCAGATGCCTTCCACTGACTGCCTTCAGGTGGGGGTGGCAGGATGGGAAGCAGGAGTTTGAAAAGGGTAAGGGGCCAACACAACAGTTACAGCACAAAACAAACCAGAAAACAAGGGTTCTGTCTCCTGTTCTCACTGACAACCTGGGTTGGTGAGAAGGTAGCAGCAGCAGAAACGTGTCCATGAATGCTTTTTTTTTTTTTTTTTCCTGATACTGCATTCAGCTGATACCTGTTAAGGAAACTCACATGGTCAGGACTGTAGTTGATCTGTACAAGTTGCATGCGGAAATCCATTACTTGGTTCTCTATGATGTCCACTCGAATCTTTTCTTCTTCTGTCTCGCCACCTGTGGGCCAAACGACAAGAACTCACCTTGGCTGCACCCAGCCCTGGTGAACAAACGGCGTGGTCTCCCTCACCAGCCTTCCCTACTCACACATATTGTGTTTGCGAGCAATGTAGCGCAAGATGGCATTGCTCTGGGTGATCTTGTTCTTCCCATCCAGGAGGTAGGGCAGCTGGAAGGAAAAGAAGATCAAGTGAGTGACATGGCTCTCTTTTGCCTCCCCACCTCTTTCCACTGGAGAAGATGAGGCTTCAGGGAAGTGAACAGTAGAGAGAACACACTGTATTAGGAGAAAGGAGAAGCTCAGTAGAAGGTAGAAGGTAGCAACGGGGTCTCCACCTGATTCTAGACAGGAGTTCTTAATCTGTGTGTGTGTGTGTGTACACACGTGCCAAGGACCCCTTCTCAAAATAATGTTTTCAAATGTTTAAGGCAAGTTACATATATTTACAGAATTATCAAAATATTTTTAAAAAAACCAAAATTTTAATAAATTAATATGTGCTTATTAATGTATTAAAAAACTAGCAGGTCTAATAACTACCATTAATTTCAAAGTAATAATGACTATAAATGATATTCAAAATATCTGCAATAAATGTAGTTAGTTATGATACAAAAATATCTGATCCCTACTGGAGTCAAAGTCACAGACATAGCTAACAACCAATGGGGCTTATCACCTATATTCACAACAGAAAAAAATGCTAAATTTCAGTTAGCGGTTAGTAGAAATGAAAATGTTATTTTTATTCTCCATTCAAGTTCATGGACCCCTGAATTCTATCTATTCTATCCAGGTTGTTAGCTGCTGTCTAGTTGGCCTCTGGCTCATGGCGACCCTATGCACAATGGAACAAAACACTGTCCAGTTGCGGAGCGGACCATTGTGATCCACAGGGTTTTCTTGGACTGATTTTCACAAGTAGATCGCCAGGCCTTTTCTTTTTAATCTGCCTTAGTCTGGAAGCTCTGCTGAAATCTGTTCAACATCATAGCAGCACACAAGCCTTCACTGACAGACAAGGTGGTGCCTGCACACGAGGTGCACTGGCCAGGAACCGAACCGAGGTGTCCTGCACATCAAAAAAAACCAAACCTGTAAACTCAATGCCGTTGAGTCACTTCTGACTCATAATGACCCCTATAGGATAGAGCAGAAATACCCCATAGAGTTTCCAAGGCTGTAAATCTTTATGTAAGCAGACTGTCATATCTTTCTCCCTTGGAGCAGCTGGTGGGTTGGAACCATTGACCTTTTGGTTAGCAGTCGAGTGCTTAACTACTGCACCATCAGGGCTCCTTGGTGTCCTGTAAGGAGGGTGAAAATTCTACTACTGAACCACCATTACCCCCATACTATCCAAGTGAAGAATCCCTATTCTAGGTCCTTCCAGACCAGAGAGAGAAGAAGCAAGGATATACTTGAATGCCTTCTCTTTTGCCCTTTTTCCTCTAAGGCTGCTTACATTAGGAAAGTCCAGGCCTAGCTTGAATTTCACATCCAGCCACTGGCTTCGATCATAGTCAGGAGCTGTAAGAGAGAGAATGAAGAAGGACTCAACCTCCTTTTAATATCTAACCTGAGGAGTCCGTGGAAAGACCTAAATGAACCAGGCCAATACCGCGAACTCCCAGGCCCAAAAAGCTTAACCATTTAGTCTCTGGGGCCTATGTGGTTAAGCGTTAACACAGGGTTGGGCCATCAGAGAGGGAGAAGCCCTAGCTCCAGGTAAAGGATGCGCCGCCGCCCCCCCCCCCCCCACCCCCCACACAGGGCCTTTCTGCTCCCAGGTGGGAACCGACCCAGGCATGATGCCGTCTTCTGGGCACAAGAAGAAAGGGATAGTTGACTGGCCTACTTGGCTTTATGCGGGGCAACAACAAATCAGCGCTACTGGCGCACAGGCACCCAGAGCGGCATTACCTTCCCCGCACGTGTACCGTTTCTCCTCATAGGCTGAATCCGTGAACTCCAGTAGCATGCGGATGGCGTGCGCCAGCTGTGGGGAGACAGCCCGAGGTCAGCGCCTGCGCGGCTCCCACCGGCCCCCCCGCCCCTCTACCGCCAACGCCCTCAACCCAGGGCCGCCCACACACCCAGTATCTGCCCAAGCAGTTGTTAAGGGGTTGCCAAGACCCGCCCCGCGGCCTGTTGCCCTCGACTCCTCCCCACGGGGTCCGGCGATCCCCAAGGTGGGGCAGGGATCTGCCACCATGGCCTGGGACTTCGGCTGGGGCTGGCCGAGCCAAGCGCGGCGAAGAGGGTGGCTTGACGTCGAGGAGCCATTTCTCTCGGAGACCGCTGACTTTAAGAGACCCGGCACCTCCACCTCCCCGTCTGTCTCCCTGACCGAGCAGCTCAGCACGTGAGGCGGCACTCACCCCGCGAATATCCCAGTAACCCAGGACCATAGTCGACTCGGACGAAGAGCTCATTTTAATTCCGTGCCTTGGAGAACCGCAGGTAAGGAATTAGCAGGCGGGATTTATACCCAACGCAACAGGAAGGACCAACGTGGATGCCCTGACTCCGCCCTAACGCCGCTCTCCGTTGATGACCCCTCCCTCCGCGCGCACACCGAGGTTCACGCGCCTGTGCAGCTTGTGCCGCTGTGGCAACGTCCTTGAGAGGAGCGAGCCCGACGTCCGAGGCGACCAGAGGTTGTGGCCTCACGCTTTTCCCCCCTGGTCAGAGCCGCACATCATTCACATCAGTAGTGTCAGTCGGGGCGGGAAGAGCGCCAACGGTCCAGGCATTGCGAACCCAGTGTTCGGGAGGAGTGTGGGATTCACAGCACAAATATTTACCGAGTCCTGAGTGGAGGGCGTACTCTGACTGCCAAGGAGTCGCTATTTTTTGGGGGGGGTGGGGAGGACACATAAATTACTAAACCCATAAAACTGTCAAGTAGACTTGATTCAGTGAAGTCCTCTGGAGGGACAGCTCTCTTCTGGCTGGAAAAGAGGGTGATTCTGAGAAGAAATCAGGGAGGAGGTGGGCATTTGAACAAAGACCTTAGTCATTGGGAATGCAGGAAATGGCACTCCAGGCAGGAGAAACCTCAGAGCAAAAGCTGGAAGGTGGGAAATACAAGTATATGTAGAAGGAACAGCAAGTGTTGTGGATTTGGGCTGTTTTTATGAGTTTGTGATGGGGTGGAGGGAGACAGAAGGTGGGAAAAACATATTGGGATCAGGTTGTGAAGGGCCTTGCATGCCAGCGAGGGGAGTTTGTATGTTTTTCCTCCGGTCATTGGGAAATCTCTAGATCACCGCTGTCCAGAAGAAATATAATGGAGGCCACGTGTGTCATTCAAAATTTTCTGTTTTTTTAAAAAAAAAATTAGGTGGATTAATTTTAATAATGTATTTTATTTAGCCTAATATATCCAGAATACTATAATTTTAACATGTAATCAATAGAAAATTATTAATGAGATACTTTACATTCTTTGTTTTGTACCAAGTCTTCAAAATGCAGTGTATTTTACACTTAAAACACATTTCACTTCCCATTAGCTATGTTTCATGTGCTCAGTAGCCATAGGTGGCTAGTGGCCACTGTATTGAACAGTGCATATTAGATGCTTTGCTGAGGTGAATGATATTGTCAGATTCTCCTTCAGGGAAATTAATCTAGCTTCTTTGTGTAGAGTGGAATGGAAGAGGGAACACACTGCCATTTTTGTTCATTCATTCACTCAACAAATATTTATTAATGTACCTATTGTGGGCAGGCACTGTTTTAGGTACCACGGATGTGAATTGAACCTCAACAGAAGACAAAATCCCTGTCCACAGGAAGCTTATATTCTAATGGGGAGAGGCAGAAATAAATGAGAAAATAAGTAAATATATAGATGGTAATACACATATACTTGCAATGGAGAAAAGTAAAGCAGGAGAAAGGGATAGAGAGTGCTTGGGCGGGAGTTGGGGGTTCCCACCAGGAAGAGGATTTGTGTTTTAAAGTGTGTGTTCATGGAAGGCTTCACTGAGAAGTTAGCCTTTAAGCTAAGACCTGAAGGAGGTAAGGGATCAAGTCACTGTTGTGGGGGCTGAGTGGGTGCAGGAGTGGGGCTGGGAAGGTGGAAAACTCTAGGCAGCAGGAAACAGCAAGTCATCACTGTATACACGGTATTTAAAACCATAAGACTAGATGAGATCACCATGGGAGTGAGAATAGATAGAGAAGAGACGAGGTCTGAGGGTTTTGGGTCTTGTGGCGCATCAACATTTGGAGGTTGGGGACATGAGAAGAATAAGCAGGAATCTGAAAAGGAATGACCAGTGAGATAGGAGGAAATCCAGGAGAGCGTAGTGTCCTAGAAACTAGATGAAGATATTTGAAGGAGTGAGCAACTGTGTTAAATGTAACTGATCCTTCAAGTAAGATGAAGACAGAGAATTAACAGTTGAATTTAGCAATGTCAGGGTCGTTGGGGACCTTGATAAGAGCAAGACATCTGTTAGGAGGCCTCTTCAGTCCTGGGAAGAACTTAGCGTCTGAATTTAAGCAGGGCCCATGAGGATGGAAAAGGAGCATAAATTTGCAACAGTTTCAATGTGGGAGAGACAGGATTTGTCAGTTGGCTGTGGAGGTGTAGGAGAGGAAGGAGTGCAGAAGCTACTCTGAGGGTTTCTGGCCTCCACAGCATGGCCACTTAGGGCACACTGAATCTGAGTCCTTAGTTCCCCTGGTTTGGGTGTGGGGAATCGTATTTCCCCATTAGTCCAGCTGAAACAAAGCTGGGACTTTTTAAAAGGGATTTCACTAAAAAGAAAAAAGTGTAAATACATAAGAACATTTATTATGCCCAGGTTTCTCCTCCCGAGGTAACCAAAGGCCAGGTCACAAATTAACTTGAGATATATGACCCTAATACTCCTCAGTATGTTTTCTCTTCCAAAATGGGCGACTGAGAGCTTGACATAACTAACGCCATGATGAACCTATAAGTTTTTTTTGTTTTTTTTTTTCCTTTGCTTTCTTCTTTTCACATACCTTTGTTGATGACTTTGTTTTGCTCTGTCTGGCCACCTGTGGTTTAGGACTCCCCACGGGAAGATTAGAGCCTGATAAGGAGGGGAATGTACAGCATGTATCTCTTTAGTATGCTAAAGAGTCTCTTGCAGTTACCTTGTAATGAATAACAACAGTTCTAATCTTTGTAAAAATCATATATAAGCTCTAATATAAAAATGCCTTTTGGGACTCCATAGAAACAGCCTGCATCGCTGTCAAATCCCTGGTGGTGGACACCTCCTAAATAAAACTTTCTTACTCTTTCTGACTTGTATGTTTCATTTTGGCTCGACTGCTCCAGGGCACGGACCCTATTCAGGTAACAGGTATAAGGCTAACATTTATTGAGCACCTATCATGCCAGGCACTAGTCTAGGTATTAGACTTGCAAAGATGTCACTTTAACGACTAAGGTGCGCCTGACCAAGCCATGGTATTTTCAATGGCCTCATATGCATGGGCAAGCTAGATTTTGTTTTGTTTATATATTTATTTATATTGGGCTTTAGATGAAGGTTTACAGAGCAAATTAGTTTCTCATTAAACAATACACACATTGTTTTGTGACATTGGTTGCCAACCCCACAGCATGTCAACACTCTCCCCTTCTCGACCTTGGGTTCCCCATTACCAGCTTTCCTGTCCCCTCCTGCCTTCTCTTCCTTGCCCCTGGGCTGGTGTGCCCATTTAGTCTCGTTTTGTTTTATGGGCCTGTCTAATCTTTGGCTAAAGGGTGAAGCTCAGGAGTGACTTCAGTACTGAGTTAAAAGGGTGTCGGGTGGCGGGGGGTGGAGCTGGACTTTGAATAAGGAAGACCAAAGAAGAATTGATGCCTTTGAATTATGGTGTTGATGAAGAATATTGAATATACCATGGACTGTCAGAAGAATGAACAAATTTGTCTTGGAAGAAGTACAGCCAGAATGCTGGTTAGAAGCAAGGATGGTGAGACTTCGTCTTAGGTACTTTGGACATGTTATCAAGAGAGACCAGTCCCTGGAGAAGGATATCATGCTTGGTAAAGTAGAGGGTCAGTGAAAAAGAGGAAGACCATCAATGAAATGGACTGACACAGTGGCTGCAACAGTGGGCTCAAACATAGCAATGATTGTGAGGGTGGTGCAGGTCCGGGCAGTGTTTTGTTTTGTTGTATATAGGGTTGCTGTGAGTCAAAATCGACTCAATGGCACCTAACAATAACAAGAAGTCTGGGTACTTCATATGTGTTAGGAAATTTATTTCAATTTAAACTTCACAACAACTCTTTGAAGTAGGTAGTGCACCCATTTTATAGAAGAAACTGAGGCCTGGAGAGGTTGGATGAGTTGCCTTTCTAAGCTCAAGTTCTTGTAGATGGTTTGGAATTCAAACCTCTGTCTAATAGCATAATTTGTGCTAGTTCCACTGCACTTAGATGTCCAGACAGCCCCTCACCTCACCTCAGTCTTTTCTGGGAAATCTAGGGAACCCTGGACTAAAGCCTTTTTTATCCCCCTCAGCCCACCAGTTCTGGAGGATTTCCCCCTCCTTCTAGGGCTCCTTCAGCTCTGTGAAGCCCCAGAAAGCCATGGGTTAAATATCTCCTTCCTCCATCCCAAGAAATTAACTTCTCTGGTTAACTTTTGCCCACGACAAGTCAGACCCTAAGGACCTCACCTTTTTTTCCTTTGGTGAGGGAAAATTTTTGCTTTCTTAGTCTGTGTCACCAGCTAAGAGAAGTGATTTTCTGAGGCCAGGAACTTGAAGGAATGACATAGGCAGTCTAAAAATAGGGAGATCTTGGGCCCAGACAAGGTTAGGGTCACAAACAAATTCAGCTAAGAGAGACTTAAGGGGGCATCTTGTCCAGTCGAGGTACTCCATTTGATAAGTACATCAAGTCACATCTGTAGACCAAATAAGTAAAAATACAACTACTATTACGTGTTTATGAGGGGGTCCATGACAGTTCTGAGATTAAAACTTAAAGGCCACTTAAACACTAAAAAATATTAGAAGCCACAGAGTCCGAACTCTTTAACGGTTGAGAAAACAAGAGACCCAGAGAGTCAAATGATTTGTGTCAGAATTTACATAGCCAGTTGCTGGACTTTTTACTTCCAATCCCATGTTCCTTATGCTCTGCCACTAAAGAGACAAGCTGGAAGGTGAACTCAAGGTTGGCTCAACCAATGGGAGGGGACAAAAGTTATATTAAAAGAGGAAGTTACCAAGTAGAGCCTGGTGCCCTTGACGTGTGTTATTGCTGTTTTGAATCATAAGCCAATGTGAGTGATCAAAATCTGCAACTGGCAGCCCAGTGCTCTTTTCTCCTGTGAAGTGTTGTCCCTCCAGAAGGATAAAGGCAGTAAGCTAGCCTTATTTTGGAACTTGTTTAGAAAGAGAGTAAGGAGAGATTGAACCATAATTCTTAAATTCTGACTCTCAGCTCCACGTGGCAGTGGGAATTCCCACTCACATTCCAACAGTCTGGCCCAGGGATGGCTGTAGGGCTGCTGCTGTTTCATGCCCAGTGTTCCAGCCTTTCCTGCCTCCTTGCCTTTGGCACAACCCCATTCCCCCCCACCCCCCACCCCACATCAAGCCCAGAGGAAACTGCAAGGCAGACACGTGTGAAACTTCAAGGTGCTTTTATTGGGAAGAAGAGAGACTGAGCAGGGTCCTGACAAGCCTAGGGGCAAGTGTTTCAGGTTTAGGAAAGAGACACAATAAATAGGTAGCAACTGGGGAGGGCTCCCAACACAGCAAGAAGGGGCATCATTTGTCTCGACCTTGTGGCCTCCTCATCCTGTGTGAGCAGGGGTGTGGGGTTCACTGGTGACTTGGAAGAGGAATTCTTGGGGCTCTAAAGGATATCAGATCTGCCATCTTGCCTGTGAGAGGGCCCCAGTCTTGGAGGTGCCTGAGCTGGTGCCTAAGGACTCATCTGGGAAAATAAAAGGATTCGGATGAGGCTGGTGCCAGGTGAGCACTCCAGAGCTCAGGACAACAGTAAGCTTGGAGACTCAAGCCATGCCTGAATGCATGAAGTCAAGTCCCTGGGGGATCATCCTGTGCCCAGAACCTGCCACGCTCCGTTCCACCCCAGGGCTGGACCCTGTTGGCTTGTCCACCTGGCACTCTCACTCTCAGCCAGGGAGGATAAGATATTCCCAATCGGAGTCAGGACCCCAGGGTGTCCTCACCCCTAGCATCCTTCTGACAGCCTCCAGCCGTGCCTGAACCCGGGGGGCCTCCTGTGGACACAGCATCTGTAGTTCCCCAGGTCTCATGTGAAGCAGCTGGTTCCCCGTTAGGGACCCAAGGGTCCTCACCGTGCTGTGAACAAAAACAGCACAAACCGTCAGTGGGGTGGAGGGACGCTGGGCCTGACTATTTGAGTAGAGAAGGGGGAGTTTGGGTTTGGAGGTTGGGTTTATAGGAGAATTCATGGAATATGGTTTCTGGAAGTGAAGGAGTAAGATAAGCATTTTGGTTTAAACCAATTTCAGGATTCCCAGGTTTGAAGGGAAAAGTATGCTGAATGAGAGTCTTCTGATGGTGGAGGGTTGGCTGAACTGGCAGCCTACATTCTTCCTGAGTTCACTGCTTGGATCCTTGCTTTCTTCTCCATGTCAGGGCTCCCCATTTAATACCCTAACCTAGGCATGGGCCAGCCCCTGCCCCCTTATGGCTTTATATTTCGATCTTTGATCTATTTCGAATTAGTTTTTGTATATGGTGTGAGGTATGGGTCCTGTTTCATTTTTTTGCAGATGGATATCCTGTTTTGCCAGCACCATTTGTTAAAAAGACTGTCTTTTTCCCATTTGATGGATTTTTGGGCCCTTGTTGAAGATCAGGTGACCATAGGTGGATGGATTTACATCTGGGTTCTCAATTCTGTTCCATTGGTCAATGTATCTGTCATTGTACC